TCCGAGTAAAGAGGTAGCACAGATTTTTGACAAAGCTACTGTAAAAGTTAAACCCAGGAAACAGAACCCAGGTGAACTAAACTAGACAGAATACAGGGTGTATTGGGAAGTGTCTATACTAACCAGGCCGCTGCAATAGGATAGAGGGCATAGGAACTGAGATGAAGGAGCATGAGGTATATGGCTTAATGGCAAGGTGAAAGGTCCACTAAGGTTTGGGGTATTTGTCTAGGGCAGAGGAAAAGTGCACAATTACCAGGCTATCTAGATTAGAAGTCTGAGAACTAGGGTTGGGGCCCTGCTATTAGACAAAAAAGAAAATGCCTATACCAACTAAGCTACCATTGAATCGGAGAAAAATAAGTGATATATACCGGGCTATCTGGATTGGAAGTCTGGATAAAAGGAGCAGGGTTACTAAAGTACTGGGGATATACTATGAAGTAAGTTCTGGGGTTTGAGTGAACTTTACAAGGGCAGAAGTAGGTTTGGGTAGTGAAGTTTAGCCAAAAACTGGGGTTAAATCGTAGAAAGGAAGCAGGAGAAAGTTTAAGCTAGGAAAAAAACTATAGACAAAAAAGATCTCGATCTGGCACTACCACACTCCAGAATAGGATAAAACTAAGCCGCAAGTGGTGGGCCACCGTTTGTGCGTACCAAACTAAAGTGCAGGCGAGGTGTGGTATAAAGTGAGAATACTGCGGGCTCTTCCAGGTTTACCTTGAGAATAAAGTAGTCTTAAGTCATAATGTGAACATGCACCAGAAAGACCAGTTCATAGAATTGGAGAAATGGTTGCCGATTAATGTAGAGCTCAGTAGCATAGACATAGAGGGTTGAAATAGGTAACCCCCTAGTTGGGTTGCAGGTACAGCACTAGTATAAAACCTAGTAATAGGCAGACTATTTAAATAGGCACTCAAAAAGCGCAGGTATGGCTAGATATACTCTCCAAATATGTTATACCAATGATTCGAATTCAATAAAAGCACATTTGGACCAAGAGCTCACCTTAATACCAAAAAAAAAAAAAATTTAACTAGTTTTTGATTCATTTTACAGATAGCAATAATACTAAAAAACTAAAAATATCTTTAATTGGTGATTCACCACTCAACCAGAGAGAGCTTATAGTGTAATATAACGTGGTAAACATATAGAAATTAGGGTTTTGGAATATAAGCTGCTTCTATCTAAACCTTTTTTTATACTAAGTTAATCATCTTTGAGCCTCTAATTGAAGTTGTAGAGCTTGTCAAAACGAATTTAATTGTAGTTGAATTGTCAAAATCGGCTTGGTAAATCATGAGATAACTTCAAAGAACATTTCACCGACTATGTAAAATTCTTTTTTTTGACAATAGTATCACCAAGAGAATTTTACATAGTCGGTGAAACATTTTTCAAAGATATCTTGTGATTCACCAAGCCAATTTTGACGATTCAACCACCATTAGATTTGTCTTGATGAGCTCTACAACTTCAATTAGAGGCCCAAAAGTAATTAACTTAGTACGAAAAAAAGTTTTAGATAGAAGCAGCTCACATTCCAAAAACCCCAATTTCTATATATAAACCATATCATGTTATACTATAAGCTCTCTCTGGTTGAATAGTGAATCACCAATTAATAATTAAATTAAAGATATATAAACAATATGAATAGAATTTTTTTAAATTTGTAGATAAAGAGTATAAAAAATTATATTTAATATAAATTGCTAATTCTATTTTAAAAATTATTTAATATATAAAGAGATTATACTTATATTAAGCAATTAACATATTTTATCTATATTTAAAGTATTATTAATAATAACCACAATAGTATTTTTATTTGAATTTCATTTGTAAATAGAATATTTTTAATTTTATTTTAAAAAACTTGCTTGTATAACAATATACTAACAGGTTAAAAATATCTAGCATATTTTCTTTATTTTTATTTAGAGCTATAAATTTATAGATAGAATTTCTGAAATTGTCAGTTCATCTATTTAAAAAAATGATAATATCAATAAGAAAAGAAAAAATTTTTAATTTTTTTTGAAGATGATCAGAAAATACTATAGATAAGAAATATTCTTTGATCATATTTTAGAAAAGATGATGATAAGCAAAACTTAATTTAGAAAAATATTCTTGAAAATATAAATTTTTGACAAAGTTAAAAGAAAGATTTTTATATATAATAGTTTTTAAAAGTTTTTAATAAAGTTTTTTAGACTATATATTAAATAAAAACCAAGTACATCAAATAAGAATAGTATTTTAGTAAAAGAATTTAGATAATTGTTGTTTATTGTTATGTTTAATAAAAATATTATTATCACTATTATCATTATAAGTATGTTTATGAAGTATAGAACTTTTGTTAAAAATTTTATAAAGATAAATAGATTTTTTAATAGAGACCAATCACTATATCTAAATATATATTGATAAAGTCTTTAGATTTGTCACTAAATTTACTTAAACAAAATTTATATTTTGTCATATATCTGTTTTTTCTTTTTTTTAGATCAAAAAAGCCAAACTAATACTAATTTTCTGTTAAAAGAGAAAAAGAAAACTTTGAAAAATTGTTATAATTTTTTAAAAATTAGTTTTAATATAGATAATTATATAATTAAGATTATTAGCTTTTTTATATATTGTTTTATTATTTTAATTTATTGATTTTTTAGAATATATTGAAGACAATACTACTACTATTTTTAAAAAATAATATAATTTCAAAACAAAATTTAAGATAAAATACTAAGTAGAAAGTTATATTATATAAATAGTAATTTAGATTATTCTACCAAATTTTAGCTTGTTTAGTTAATAGTTTTTGTAATTTTTCACTATTATAAATAATAATTTCTATTTTTTTACTGCATCTTTTAAAAGCTGATTCGATTTTCTGTAAATCTTGAAGACTAAGAAATTTTACAATATTTTTATATTGAATTAAAAATATTTGTTCATTTAGAGTAGCAATTATATCTATTTCAAAATCACCAGGATTACAAGCAATTATATTTGCTACCAATCTAATTTCATTTAAAGATTTTGCAAGAAGTTTTTTGAAATTATGACCGATTAAATAATTAGATTGAAAAAATGTTAACAAAAGTTTTTTATTTACTCAAATATTCAAATATCACTGTTGATATATTCAACTCAATGTTATCTGTTATAAATACTAAATATCTTTCAAAAAAATCAAAATATATTCTCAATATTTATTAACATATTCAGAATATATCTATTTTTTTCTAGAGCAGCATAACTTCCAAACTTAGTTAAATGATTTTACTCATCAATTTTAAAGATTTTTCAGTATAATTTTTTTCACTTAATTTTAAATTAGCCATTTTTTTTATATTAATAAATTTCTATTTGGTCATAAATAGACTAAATAGAAAATTGTAAAAAAATAATATAAAAGAGAATAATAAAATATTTTTTAAAAATAATTTACTAATAGTAGATTTTCCTGTTGATATTAGACCATCAATCATTATATTAATTTTTATAATTATATAATTAAATTTCTAATCAATTATTAACTGATTAGATTATAAAATAATAATATATATAAAAAAAATAAAAAAATTAAAATAATATATTCTAAAATGATCCTTTAAATCTTAAATCCCAATTACCACTTCTATTTTCTTTTTCTTTAACTAAATCTTTCTCTATATCATTATTATTTGTAATAATATTTAATTTGTTACTAGTTCTATTTGAAATAGTATCATCTACTTTTACTCTTTTTCTTTTACAGTTCAAACTATTACATTTTTTTGAAATCACTTCAATAATTTTTTCTAAATTATTTTTTAAACTATTAGTTAAGTTATATTTTTTAAGATCTTTTAAATCACAAAAAAATTATATATTGATTTTTAGGTTCAGTATTTTTAAGAATTTGATCAGTAATAGAATAGTAAATAAAAGTTCTAACTAAACATTCTTTTCTATCAGAAAATTTACGAAATCCATCTTTAAAACTAATTAAATTAACATCCGCAATTTTAATATCTGCTTCTTTTTTAGCTTCGCAAATTGTATATTGATCAAATGTTTTATTTTTATTTTTTTTTCCACCAGCAACTTGATAATGATCATAATAATCTTTATCAAGATTATTTTTTCTACAAAGCCAAACTTGTTTTTCAATATTAACTAAAATATAAAGAGAAAATTCTCTACGTTTATTTTCATATTTATTAATAATTTCTTTCTTTTTGTAAAATATTTGTATTAATAGAAATTTGACTATTAATTTCTAATTTTGTTTTTGTATCAGCAAGAGTAAATCTATATTGAGAAATTAAATTTAGATTGTTCAAAAAGATAAAATACAACCCATTAAGAGTTAAAATTTTATTATATTCTTTCAAAACTGTTTTGTATTCTATTTTTTTTTAATTACGTATTTAAAAATCTAATAGATCAAAGACTGATTAGATATTATTATCTTTAAATATAATTTTATTATTATTAATAAATCTATTTTGAATAAATATATATTTACTATTATATGTATGAAATTCTGAATAATAATATTGTTTATGTTCAATACAAAAATAATTTTTTTCATTATCAGGAATAACAAAGCCATCATCAGTATTATAATCTAAAAATCTTTTAGAAATAGTTGATTCAGTTGTGATATCAGTATCATTATCAAAATCTTCTTTAGAATAAAGTTTTGTTTATATTGTTTACAATAATTTTGTTTATAAATAAAATCACAGCTATCACAATAATAAAAATAATTTTTATGAGATTTTAACCACTCATTATATTTTTATTTATAATTATAAATAGATTTTTTCTGTTATTTAATTCATAAACTTCTTTGAATTATAATATTTGAACTTGAACCAGTTTCAGTATAAAAATTATAAGGTTCAATTAAATCTTTTTTTTTAAGAATTGAAAGATTATTTTTTAACTTCATGTTTACAAAAATAATATTCTATTTGGTAAATTAAACTAAATAAAAAATACATCTTCAATCTCTTCAATCTCTTCAACACATTTATCTCTAAATTTAGTTTTTAAATCATTAAAATTTTTTAACTGCATATTAATACCAGTATTAATTTCATTAAGAGTTTTTGTTAACCATTCATATTCATAGTTAGGATTTTTTCTATTTATAGGAAATTTATTTTTAATTTCTTCAATTTGAGAGGCTTGATCTTTTTGAATATTTCTTAAAATTTTAATTACTTCTAAATATTTTTCAAGAACAGGATAACAATTAACAAGAAAATTTTCAAAAAAAATTAGATTCATTTGCCATCTTTTTTTAGAAATATAAAAGTTAATTTTTTTTTTGAACAAATTTGTCTTGGTTTCTTTTTATCATAAGGAGCTGAATTAATACCATTTTGTTTTGGGTTTTAAATATTTTGAATTGATTTAATATATTGATTAATAAATTACATAATTAAAATTTTAATCAGTACAAAATTGTACTGATTAAAATTATGGAGATTTATGATAATATTCAGGTAATTTTAATATATATTCTTCATTTAATTTTTCAATGAAGACAACACTTTGTTTAGAAAGATAATTAATTCTTTTTTCTGTAAATTTTTTAATATCGATATCTTTGGCTTTCTTTTTTTTTTAATAATTTTATCTTTAAATTTTTTAAGTAAGTTTTGTTTGTTTTTATAAATAAAAGCATTAGTAGAATAAAAATTTTTAACCCAAAGAAATAAATAATAATCTAATTTTAAATCTTGAAATAATTTTTTAAATTTTATTAAAGATCCTTTTTTATTCAAAGAACCTAATCAATTTGTTTAGAATATTTTTTATCCACACTTTGTAGCAATTTAAAGTAATGACAATATTTTTTAAAAGGACATTCCCAATTTGTATGACAAGGATCATATTGCTATAAATTCTCATAAAATTTTTTTCTTGTTTTTTTAGAAAGTTTCAGTTATATTTATATTAAAAGAATGTAAAATAAGATATGTATTGGATATGTTCTAATAAATTAAATTTTTCATTTGGTTTTCTTTTTTTATAAAGAATAACATATGAACAATTAAAATTAATATCTTTAAAAGATATTGAATTCTTTACGATAAAATGTTCATAGAATGCTTTTTGTTTAATTTTTAAAAACTTTAAAAAGGGAGTTACAATATCTTTTTGAATAGACATTGTAAATAATTAAAAAATATTTTAATTATTTTATAAAAGCACCAATATTGCTCTCGGTTATCAAATTTTATAATTCAATGAGTAGAAATAAAGGTTGTTTTTTCTCTCTTTTTATAGATATTATGAAAAATTAAAAAAAAACTGTTTTTTTATTTTCTCTCAGAATATAATACAAATTGAATTTACGATTTAAAAATTTTAGAGAAATAATATATTGCAAATCAAAATTATGATTTAAAAATTTTAGAGTAATAATATATTGCAAATCAAAATTACAATTTAGAAATTTTAAAGTAATAATATATTACAAATCAAAATTATAATTTAGGAATTTTAGAGTAATAATATATTACAAATCAAAATTACAATTTAGAAATTTTAGAGTAATAATATATTGCAAATCAAAATTATGATTTAGGAATTTTAGAGTAATAATATATTACAAATCAAAATTATAATTTAGAAATTTTGGAGTAATAATATATTGCAAATCTAAATTATGATTTAGAAATTTAGAGTAATAATTATAAATTTAGAAGTTTAAATATCAATTTTATAAATTTAGAAAGTTAGAGTACAATAATATATTGTATATATTTGAATAACTTGTTTTGAATTTCAATTTCAAATTTATTATAAATTCTTTATTTTTTTTAGTAAATAATAATTTCTTAAAAAAAAAAGATGTGTAATACTTATGAAATTTGTAACTACTTCTATACAAATACTTTTAAAATGAGACTTATTTGCAATATTTGCGAAGCAACTTATAATATTGATGTTCAAGTTACTAATCTCAAAAATTATTTTATAAATATAATAAAAATAATTATTGTATAATTATAGCAATTCAAGAAGAAAGAGAAAAATGAATCAAAAAAATTAATAAAGTTCAAAGAAAGGAAAATTCTAATTTTTTAATAATACAAAATAATGAAACTTCAATTCAAGTTCCTAAACCAATTCAAATTGAAAAGATTAATAAAGAAAAAACTGTAGAAGAAATTGTTGTGACTGGTCAAGCTTTACAACCAGTTCAATATAATATTGTAAAATTAAAAAAAGAAAAAATGATGAAACTAATAATAATATAAAGAAACAGAAAATTAGTTTAATTATTTTAGATACAAATAGTAGTATAATTGAATTTAATATTGATAATATGAAATTTAATATTAATAGAAAATGTACTTTAAATTTCAAATAATTTTTTTTAATAAAGTTATTTATAATCATTATTATTTTTTTTACAAAAAAA